TCTATCTATCTATCTATCTATCTATCTATCTATCATCTATCTATCTAATGTATATGTGTGTACATGTACGTATATAGAAAAAAGGGATAATAAAGGTTATCTTATCTTTTCAATCCTTCTAGTACTGATGATACTACCTAGTTGGGTAATGAAATGTCTACAAGAAAACAACCAAGTTCAGAAAACATCAAGGACCACATAGTCCTCCTTCTCCTCCTCCTCCTCCTCCTCCTCCCACTGATGATACTACCTAGTTGGTTAATAAAACTTCTGTAAGAAAACAACTAAGTTCAGAGAGCACCAAGGACCCCACAGTCCTCGTCTTCCTCTTCCTCTCCTCCTCCTCCTCCTCACACTGATGATGCTACCTAGTTGGGTAATGAAAGGAGTACAAAAAACAACCCGGTTCAGAGAGCACCAAGGAACCCTCATTTCAGTCTTGAGCTACAGATAGTCTCTTTTATCTGTACCTCTGCTATTCCTGTAATTATACTTTAGAAGTTGCTCCAGGAAGTTGACTTTTTAACTTTGCTGACTGCTGATTCTTCTCAGGCATTTGTGTGAATTCTGTACCAGCACACTTGAGTTCCTCCCTTTCCCTTTCTTGCATTTGAGAACCTCAACATCCATGGACAAACATCTGCAAAGCAGTTTTTTTTTTAAAAAAAAAATCTGATAGCTTTCCTTCTTTGGAGTGAAGGGAAATTGTGTCTTCAGACCAGCTGGCCTGGACTGAATGTGACCCTGTTCCATTGTTTATTATTCAATTCCAGTCATGAGATTCAAAACCTAAAATAGCAGTGGAAGAGGCTAGAAATAGTATTTTGTAATTATTGAAGTGGGTTTATTCTCCTGAGCGGTATCACGTCTCCCTATGGAATTAATTTCTATTTATAGAATTCAGTTATTCTGCTAAAAAACTATTCCATTGTGGCTAAGTCATAATTTGGTTATGATTGATTGAATGAATGAATGAATGAAAATGATCTATGTTTCCTACACACACACACACACACACACACACACACACACATACACACACACATATATGTGTTTTCGTAGATTTTCATGGGTACAGGTATGCAGGTCTTGGCGTGTTCTGGTCTTTTCCCATGTAAGATTGAGAGCATCTTGGCAATGTTTCGATGAGGTCCCACTCGCCATCTTCAGGCTGGCTTCCGGGTTTTGGTTTGGCTCCGAATTTGAGGCCTGGATATGTGTTCATGGCATGTATCTGTTTGCTTGGTTTGGCGGTCAGGGTGTGTGGCAGGTGGTGATGCAGCCATGGTCTGGTTTCTGGACGGTGGTTGTCTTTCGTCTATGGGATGGGTTTGGGTTTGAGTCTGGTGAGGGAGAATGGTGGTGGTGTCATGTGTTGTTTTGGGTCCAGTGTTGGTTTTTGTGGCTGGGACTCATTTGTTGGTAAGGGCTAGTTTCCAGATGTCTGGTAGGCAGGAGGCATCGTCCCGTTTATTCATGTTATGGGGGTGTTTCTCTATTTCATATCCAGGCCTCAAACTCGGAGCCAAACCAAAACCCGGAATGTCACATCACAGCCACCTGCTCAGGATATCACATCACAGAACTCAGGAGGTTACACCACAAAACCTCAGAATATTGCAATACAGCCAACGACCCAGGAGATTACAGCACAAGACCCAGGATGTCACAACAATAGAACTCAGAAGGTCATCACACAGCCCATTACCCAGGTCATTACGACCCAGGAGGCTGATAGACACACAGCCAATACCTCAGCCACACATGTTCTTACAAAAAAGCCAGCCAATCTGCAAACATCAACTCCATCAACCAATCAAGAAATGACAACACAGCCAACCTCCCCACCAGTATATATAGGGAGATGGAAGCTCCGATCACGCTTTGCTCACACAAGCACGGAGCAGAAAGCACCAGCCTGAAGATGGCAAGTGGGACCTCATCGAAACGTTGCCAAGATGCTCTCAATCGTACACAGGAAAAGACCTGAATATATATACTGTGTGTGTGTGTGTGTGTGTGTGTGTATACATACACACACACACACACTCTTTTGGTTTCTCTATTTATTAATCATATACCCATCTACTTCACTGGTGATTCTGGCAATGGTGGGATTCAGATAATTTAACAGCTGGCTCTCTGCCCTAATGATTTCTTCCAACAACCAGTTCACCAAGCTGCTCAAGAAAGCTAACAACCAGTTCTCCCAAACTGGTGCAAACTGGCTGAATCCCACCACTGGATTCTGGGTAGTGAAGGACACTCAATTAAGAAAAATGAACGACAGGAGAGAAGTTCAAAAACGATATTAGAAAGTACCAAATTTTCCCGAAAATAAGACCCTGTCTTACATTTTTTTTGGTCATCAAAAAAAGGCACCAGGCCTTATTTTCAGGGGATGTCATCCACTGACTAATTTCACTTGCACGCATTGCCCCCCGAGCTCCATTTTGCTGTCAGAGGCCTGAAAACCTCTGCAGCCAATAACAGAGCTTCAGATTGATCTGGGGCTCTGTTATTAGCTTCAGAAGTCTTTAGGAAAGACTTGCCAGCTGCAGAAGAAATGGGCTGGCAAGGCAGGTGTCAGGGTGCGTGAGGCCTGGCTACAACTGTCCAAAGGTAAGTAGTAGTAGGGCACCTCCCCCCACCCCCCAACCCCCACCTTAGCTTAGTTTCTACCCGTGCACTTTGGAGTGGATGGGATCTTAATTAGGGCTTATTTTGGGGTTAAAGCTTATATTGGATGCACATGTAAAAATCAAGCTAGGGCTTACTTTCAGGGTAGGTTGTATTTTCGGGGAAATGGTATTACTTCATAGAAAGAGCAGTGAAAGCTTGGAACCAACTTCCAGTGTCAAATCTAATTCAATCCTCAAACCTGAAAGTCAAAAGTTGACTTCTCTTCCTTATCTTCCTGTAAGAAATCTAACTCTGGTCTCCAAGTCACAAGACATTTAGCCAAGACAGTGTCTCTAAGCTAAGCCGTCAGTTTTGCCATCGCAATTAGCTCCATGAGGTATTCTGCTCTGGATTTTTAATTAAAAACAAAACGAAACAAAAAACCGACGGCTGCTCAATCCCCAAATATTTAATTCGCCGGGTGGAGGAAAAAGATGGTTTTTGTACAAAAGCACAACAAAATTCTTTCTGGCCATAAAACATCTTCTGGTGGAACTGAGGACAGCTTCACTCCCTTAATATCTTCCAAAGAATAATCTTCCAATTCTCCTCACATCCTACGTTGTGTAAGTTGCCCAGAGTTATCCTACTGACAGCATATAAATGTAATCAATCAATCAATCTTGCTTTGCCAAATTGTTTGTCTTTCCCTGCAGTGACACCGGAGACATCCTTACAGAATAACAGAGTTGGAGGGGACCTTGGAGGTCCTCCAGTCCAACTCCCTGCTCAAGCAGGACACCCTGTGCCATCCCAGACAAAAGTTTGTCCAATCTCTTCTTTAAAGCATCCAGTGTTGGAACATTTTGGAGGCAAGTGATTCCACTGATTAATTGTTCTAAATTTCTCCTTAGTTTTAAGTTGCTTCTCTCCTTGGTTAGTTTCCATCCATTGCTTCTTGTCCTGCCTTCAAGGGCTTTGGATAATAGGTTGAACTCTCTTCTTTGTGGCAGCCTTTCAGATATTGGAAGACTGCTATCATGTCACCTCTCGTCCTTTTTTTCATTAAACCTCCTCCTCCTCCTCCTCCTCCTCCTCCTCCTCCTCC